TGATGTTGCCTTGTGGTCTTTTAGGATAGAGCCCAAATGCCCTCTTTCCATCCAGCCACTGACATAGGAAAGCAATGAAAAATGGAAAATTATGTAATACCACAAATAACATTTGACACATACTTTTTAATTTGAGTCAAGGAAGACTTAAAGAATTACAAGTGTCTCTCTATTATAGATAGATTATATATACACCAAGCTGAGCCTCAGACCCTCCAACAATCATTTGGCACACACCTTTTTAAAGGAAGGATTCCTAACAGCAATTCCATAGCAACCTTCTTCTACTCACAATATGGAAACATGGTGGGATGTAGAGAAGGAAAGTAGTAGATCTGCATTAATTTGACTGGTTTAAGTATATAAAGCATATACTTTCCCATCGAATGAGTGAAAAAGCCTCAAACGTTAATGTAGATAACGAAAGAAGAAAAAACTACTGCATACACACACCGCATCAGAATAAAATTACTTGAGAATACTACCTCTTTGTGACTCTCTGTTTATTTTAGTCTTTCTTTGGGCTGAGCTGAGTTGAACTCAAAGGAGAAAAAAAATAATGAAAATTAAAAAAATGTTTATTACAGGAGTTCTTCATGACTGCTTAATGAAGAACCTGAGTAGCCTATAAACCACTGTAAAGTAGATGGGGAGGCTCACAAATTTTGGTATTTGAAGAGAATTCAAAGATAGTGCGTATTGCTTTTTTGTGGCAGCAAAACCTAGCAAAAAGAAGCAGCCACAGTGAGACACATCTGAAAACAACTGGATTCCACATCAGCTGACCCTTTGCTAACAAAGCAAAACACTATCTTGCGTCTGTTAAGTGCTAATGCTGTGAAGACACATCTCTGATGACCCCTTCCAACCCATGCCAGTAAATGGCTCGTAAGGCATGTGGAAGGTGGATAATTGTTATAACATAAAAACAAGGGTAGCAAGACTGCAGGGTAAAGTGGGGACCTTCATTCAAAGTCCTTCTGAAACCTTCTGTGAAGAGAGGAGAGGAGCTGCTGGCCCACTCTCAGCAAGCACAGGCAGTGAGTCACAGAGGGCATTGATCTAACTAAAGGCAAACAGAGGTAACTCTGTGAAGACACCCACCTCACCCTAATATCACTGAATTTGCTGAATGCAAATACCATTTTACATCAAAGTTACCTGGGTTTTGTTTTTATATATATATCATCATCGCCATCCTTTAAGAAACAGAAACATTAGACAAAACAACCCTAAAGAGATCGGTGGAAGTCTTCAAATATCAGTGATAAATCCCTGTTCTCTCGGACCCTTTTAAGCTGTTGTTCAGAAGTTATATTTCTATGGTTCAATTACATTGAAGTAACTGGTTAAGGATATCGTAATCAGACAGAAAAAGATGAATGCATGTGTTTCTCTGTGTACGTACAATACCCACAAGGCTTATGAAACCCATTCACAACAGAGGAAATACTCTAAACATATTTTAAGAGGCTCTGTCAGCAGTCTCACAGCAAAGCTCATTCACGTGTAAGTCATGAGGAAAAAGCTGTTTTCTGTCCATGCTGTATGAACAGATTTTGTTTGGTCTACAGCTCATATTTAAGTTGCAAGTAAATAAATCATCCTAGCTGAATCAGCTGACAAACCACATTGATGGTATTGAGAATAAATATTTGATTGGGACTGAATTAACTCATTGCAGATTTGTGCTCATGTTTACACATACTAGAGCTGCATGTATCGAAAAACAGGATATGTAGGATATTAATCAAATTGTAGTCAAACATGTTTACCTCAAAAAAATAGAAAAAGGTGCAAAAGAAAAGAAGTGCAAGCCAGTCTGTGTCCTATTTTGCTTTTAGAATTAGTTTGAACACAATGACATGCTGACATTCTCATTCAAAACCAGACTGGACAGAAGGATAGAGGATAGTGAATCCTGACAGCTGAAATGTAAATTAAGATGTTTTCATGTCTTTACACATGCAGTTGTGCCTCCCAGGGAAACTGGTACATAATAATAACAACTTGAGCTTTATATAAAGTTCCCACCTTACTTGCAGCCTTAGAGAATACAATAGCACTAAGACTAGATTGTTATTAAAGGAAGAAGTGTCTAGGAGCTAGAAGTCAATACGCTAATCATAACAAAGACATTGTCAGTTTACAACATTTTGGAGTGATTTTGCATTGAATGAAACCCCGTGGCACAGTATCAACAAATGACTGTTTGGCATCACATAATGCCTAAGCTGAACTGAACAGGGTGCTTCTAAAAACTGAAGCGTGTGCTTCAGTTAAGGAAAAAAAAAAAGTCATGCTATAAAATTGCAGCAAATAGTTCCACAAGTCCCTCCAGCCACATCCCCCTCCCTTCCTTAATCTGTCAGGAACTGTTTCGCAAAGCTCACAGAGGATTGTGATTATTAAACTAAACACCACACAGTAGAACGCAAGCCGGATCTCATTCCCCATACTCCCATTTTAAAGGATGGCAATATAAGCATTAACTATTCCATCCTCAATAGCATTCAAATACGTTTCTCTCTTTCTGTCACACAAAAAATAGTGGAAAACACATTTCTTTTGTCAGTCTCCTGTCATGTTTCTATCTGTGCAAAATAAAGAATTAAGAAGGATATATCTTTGCTGCAAGTCCTATTAACTGTTCAGCCTGTGATCTATAGCATAATCTATTTATGTAACATTTTGTAAAACTGTATGGAACAACCTCTTCCAATGAGCAGCAGGTGAATTAATGACCTGCTCGTTCTTGTTACACCACGTTTAGGACAATTAGAGGTCTTAGCTGAGGTTTGGCTGAAATAAGCCTTCCCCTGCATAAGAGGCAAATGCATAAAACAATTTGAAGGGAACCAAAGGGTTAGGTGATTACATGATCCCTCAGATAATCAGAAACATGGGACACTTGTAGATGTAGCCCTGAGCAGTTTGGCATAAAATACTCCTTTCACTGTACTGCAAGATTTGACTCATCTATGAGTAGACCGTAGTTCAACATACAGAGGTGATTTAAAATCAATTCCTAGAAATGTGAACATTCAATATTGGAAATCTCTTTTTAAAATGCTGAAATTGATAAAACACTAAACAGCTGGTTTTAAATGAAACAGTAATACCTTTCAAAACAGTGAAGTACCTAATCAGTGCTTACAATTAGGAAATTTTACAACCGAAATTCTATTTATAAAACAGTCTCTTTGGAGTTTCCACTTACTTTCTGCATTAACAGACTTGCTGAAAAACCACTTACAGAACAGCAGGTTTCCAGAACAGCCTTTTTCAGTTGATCAGGGTAAAACAAACCTTATTCTACATGGGTTCAATTCTGCTAACACCACAAATGAATCACTATGTGCATATGCTTAATCCCACAAGATCTCAAGTTATTCATGTCCTCCTTGGAGTTTGCAGGATTAGAATCTAAGTATGTTGTCTTCCCCCTCTCCCATCCTGTCAGTAAACGTGGGATCAGAGTTCAAAACATGCCTGATTTTGTTCTCCTAATCTCTAGTAATCTTCTCAGTGACACAGTATCTGTTGCAGAATATCAGGAGGCCACATCAAAGAGGAACAGTTAGTGGAAACATTAAGTTACATCCATATTTATCAAAGTAGGCTCCCTATGCTGGCAAATGTTAAAACAGTATCTATTCACAAATTCAAGTAGCACTAAATATTAAGGTCAACGTTACCTTAAAGTCAGTAATTTTCCTCACTCACAAAGCTTATTTAAAAATGGCACAGGTTGTATAGCCCAGATGTGTGGCTACTTTAGCTCCTGATGCAAAATTCAAGGTAATTCATGACTTTGTGAAAACACAACTAACACAGTGCTGCGTACAAAGGAGTTTTGTACAAATTGCCATACCAAGTTTTACAGTGTGTAAATTTAACTGGTGGATTCAACTAGCAGAACCCTCTCCAGCAGTTCTAAGGGGTGGAGAACAGAAAAGACAGTCATCCTTCAAAATCACTTGTTTCATCAGGCAGCACAGAGAGAAGGAAAACAGTAAGAAAGTACATTTTGGAAACATGGAATCCAAAGCTGGGGCAGACACTCTACAAGGGGTGTTTCCAGCTGGAAACAAAGTAAGTATCTGTCTATGGAAATTTGATCATCTGCAGTGACTGAAGCAGATACGAAAACGATATGAAAAAGCTCAAGAAGGCGAAAAACTTGTGAGGACCAAGACCTCACTCAAATGTCAGTTAGGAAAATATCTGTCCAAAATCCATCTTCAGGTCAGTATTTGCCCAATACAGGTAATCTGTTCTCATTATATGTATATCCAAATGTCTGTTATTCAGCTGTTCTGCTGTCTGTACTGCCACAAGGCCAGATCTAATTACCATTAAACGAAACTGAAAGACTATCACGGGCTTCAGTCCTTGTTGAAACTGTGCTGAAGTTATATTATACAAGCTGGAAAAATTTAGATTACATTAATTTTGATTGTGGTTTTGGATGGGTTTTTTTAGAATTGCCAGTGTTAATCAATTCACTAGCAGACACTTGATATTTACAGAAGAAAAACAGCTCTCAAGAAGCTAGCTGCCCATTCAACATCATAGGTTTTAACAAAATAAATATTTCATGGAGTAGGAGTGATGTTTCCCAACATCTCTCCTCGTTGGTTGCTTGTCAGGCAATTATATCATACACTGCTTATACAGGCAGGGAATGCTAATGTTCAATTTTATAAAACTACAATCTTATTTTTGGAAACGTTCTTTAAAATTTGAAATAGGACAACAGTTGTTGACAGAGCTTAGCAGGCTGTTCAAGGAAATGTAGCATAGTAAAACTACGCTGCTTTTTAAATATTTATATCTTTTTAATCCTTGCAGCAGATAAGCCTCTTTGCAGTAGGCAGGAATATGAATACCCTTGATTGTTTTTAAGTCCTTGCTTTTCAAAATTAATATTTGCAAATGTTTTTTTCACTAAAATTTTACTACAAGTGTTACTTAAAATTTTGGTTGGATCAATTTACCTTCCATAAGCAAAGCGCCTGTCTTTGTGGTGGTCCCCAAACGTATCCCACAGCCTGAGAGAGACACTCACTTCATCCACAACATCTCTTGAGCGTTCAAGGACCTAGAACAGAATACACATGGCATTCTCTTTCTCTGCATCAAACAAGTACATTTCTAACTCGCCCTGTAAGAAGGTCCAAAGCATAATAGACCAAGAGTCTATCACGTATAGTTTTCAGCAAATGCTGTATTTTATAAAATAGGCAGAATATGCATATTCCTAAAAATAGGTTTGATAAAAAAAAAAATTTACTTTGGAATGAGAGACTCAGGGAGATGCGTATCAGACCATGGCTACAGTACAGACTGTGCGTAAAATACTTGTGAGCTCACTGCCGCATCCTGACAAAGAAAGGCTTGCCAATAAATAATAGTACAACCTCACAGCATGTGCTCCATATTTTGTACACCTCCAGTCCTTACCTCTTGGCAGACACGGTACTGATCAATGGCCCACACAGTTGGTACGTGAGTTGCCAGCAGCTGATACTGAGTCAAGGTTGTATTGCATGCTCTTGCACAGATTAGACGAGTCTTTCCTACTGCATTATCTCCAACCACCACACACTTGATAGTTTCAACGTTGGGTCTTTCGTAGTCCATGTCAGTGTCCATTTATCAAAAACTGTAACAAGACAGTTAAACTTGTTTTCTACTACTGCACAAGAACAGAGCCTTCTACTTCCACTTCTTGAGAGATGTCTGAAGACGACAAATTCTTAAGGAAAAGCTTGTAGTAAACTGTACCAAAGTAAGCTAGCCATTCCTTTAAATACCACACAGTTATGCAAATGCATGACTATTTTGACCGCAGTTGGTTTATGCTGTTCACATGCTATTTTCACTTTGGTTTCTGTAAACACAAGCCTGTTTGCAGAAGACAGATCTTGGTGAAACAAGGACAGCTAGCACAAACTTACCTCTTGCTAATACTTTTTATGCCTAGAAGGAGAAAAGGCTGGACATCCATGGGTTTAACCTGAAGGATTCCAGTATAAACCTGCCTTCAGTAATCTTGCTCATTCAGGATTTGATTTAGGGCTGTCCAAACAATATTGCTAACAGCAAGTCCCACAGATGGCTTTAGTTATATGCACACAATAAAACTGACTTGTAAGATGACTCCAGAGACTCTGTTCTCTACAAACCACAACTCCGATTATATCCTGCATGTATCACACACTCTTAATTTTCCACGGAGAAGTTTGTACAGATCATGGACTAAACTGAAACCAAACAGTCCAGCAGGAACTTGCAAATATACTTATCTATACCTACAAATTCTTTTTCACATGACACTGAAAAGTGAAGAGAAGGAGATTTTTGAAGGTACTATCCCCATGGAAAGTTATTATTGAAAATAATTAGTTAAATATTCTATGACAACTTATTGAACAAATGCCTGGATACAAATGTAAGCTGGAAAAAAATAATTTTTGAAAAACTAAAACCAACTCCTGCATGTTTAGTACAGTCTGTAATTTTCATATAAAGGAATATGGGATTATAGTTTGATATATTTGATTTTGGTTTTCTAATGTCTAGTAGTCTGCCGAGCAATCTAGTCTCTGCCAGGGAATTGTAATCAAGGAGGGAGAAAAAGGGAAAATGCAAGGCACAAACATGTTCAAGAAGGCTTGCTTAATAATTATTTCAGCAAGGAAACGTACAGCAATTTAATGAACAAAACACATGTTGGTCATCTGCAGTGATGGTGTCCTATTTCCTGAGAAGAAAGCACTACAGATAAAGAAACCAAATTATTTGTTCTAATACCTTTTTTAATATTCACATCTCATTCGCACATAAACATAAAATATATATTGACTCTCAGGCTGTTAGAAATAATAGATACAAGCTGTTTTGATATCCATTTTTCACTGTCAGAGGCACTATGTTCTGATTTAAGAAAAAGTATGTTTAGTAATTACTAGCCAAACATGAATTTTAGCTGCATTCTTTCACTACTTAAAGTGATATAAACCAAGAAACAAAAGTTGGTGTTAGAGCTGAATGTTACCCATCTATTTAAAATCTTGAGCATGGGCTGCATGCTAATAGCTAAAATGGCTAATGTACAGGTATAATCTTTATTTATATGTGGATGGGGGGAATTAGGGACCACACAGACAGCAAGGTGAAAGGATGAGTTTATATCACTACTGCGTCACACTGATACATTTTCACAGACATTGAATGCTTCTGGAAATGCTACAGCACAGACTAGCATGTAAGAATACATTTTAGAGAGTTGTCCTACACTAGACTGAAACATGGGCCCAGAAACTCTTCGTCTTCATCCTGGCACAAGTACATGGTTGCACAGCTAGGGCTTTGCAATCTGCCAAATGTAGAGCAAATAATGTGGCTTCAAACATATATGCACAATAGCTACTGCATATAAACCCTAACAGCCTCGTGATACCAATCTGCTATGTTGGCAAATAGGTTTTAGCTGATGAGGAAAAAAATCTATTAAGATATTGCCTTTATCCCTTCATCTGAGTTGTAACCTGCATCCTGAAAGGTTACTGCTCTTGAGTTAAAGGACTACAGAGACTTCCAGTTACCTGTCTGCCATCCAACCACACAGCTAGCTGTTTGTTGGATGCAAACTCCCACAAGGCTGATACCTGGGATGGCCCATGGGCTCTGTACCATCTCCATGATGGTACAGCTCCAAGGAGAGCTAACTCCTCATTCCTTCTCTGTAGCCTTTCCAAGAACACAGCTATGATATAAATAATAGTACATTTTTTTTTCCCACATTATAGAGAACGAGACATATTTGTACACCATGGCCTCAAGGCAAGGCCCTCAATGTGTAGAAAAACCCAAGAGGTTTCAGTATGTGATCTAAAAAAAGTTTCATTTCAAGTCTTAGACTAAACAGCAACCCCCTGACATAATACATGGTATTAAACTACCTCATATTTTATTCATGCATGAACTAGACATCACAGATGGAATGTGGAAATGTTTACAAGGCTGGAAAACAAAATGAAGGAGTGTGGCTAGCCAGTGCGTCTGGTTGGTTTTAAACTACCAAGCAGAGAGCTGCCAAACCAATTTTTTTTCCAATCCAATATTCCATTAAAATGCTGTTACACAGATTAGCTGAGGTTTTATATAACAACCTGATTTTAAAATTCTTCAAAAGTTCTTAAATGGTAGTTCTGCAAAAATGCATTTGAGTCAGTCACAATATATGTATTAAGTACAGAGTCTGGAATCTTAAAAAAATTTCCAAGAGGATAACAAAGTGAGTTTAAAATTAATAGGCAAATCTAAATAAAAGTAACAAGAGAAATCAATGAAATTATTTGAGAATCCTAGAAAAGGAACATAGGAAAATAAAATTTAAAAATTATTATTTTTTTAAATTTACAGTATACTTACTAATGTAATTAAAGCTAAGTTATCACAGAACTCAGCATGCCCGAATGCCCTGTTGTAGATCAATGGCAGTCTAATGAAGATATTTTTAGCGTGACTCTACTGCACAGGACAGAGATTAAAATAAACCGGGAATAAAAACAAAACTAGAGCTTTTAAGGAAGGTTCTTAAATCCACTCCAGTATATATACAGTGTCTATGTATTAAAAATGCAGATAATTTTAATTGTTTACTAGTTTTCAGAAAGAGATTAAAACAGAAATAGCTCCTGAAGAGACTGACTGACAGAAGCCTGGACAGATATTTAGACACCTCAAATAAAAATAGATGCTAACAACAAATTACAGTACAAACAATTAGCAAGACATGTGGATTAAATGCTTATAAACGTAGCCAGAAGCCTTCTGGCTACTGGAATGATTAAAGCCAGGAATATATACAAGATGTTAAAAAACCAGCCACCATCAGTTTTTTTAAGGTAGCCTCTTGGTTAAACTTATGCTAAAGCTACTATATTAAATGTTAAACACGTATTTACAAAACTTAAATAAAAAAAAAAACAAACCTACATTTGAGCTCTGAAAGTCTGATAACATCTGGGAAGACCAACTGGAACTGAAACAAAACTGGTTAGACAAGAGCAAGCCAGCATATATAAAGCTTAACTAAAAAAAACCAAAATAAAATTCCAAGACTAATGAAAAACTTGCTAAAACCAACCTACAACCTGCAATAGCTTAGTTTACCAACAAAACAAAACAGGGTGAAGTAAGAGGAAAGTTACTGGAAGCATGACCAGTCTCAGAGAGGACACTGCCAAAAAGGCCAGAGAAAGACAGAAAGGCGATCAAATGAGGAGCAGCAAGAAACCTACTAGTGGAAAGATCTGATCAAATATGGCTGTTCCCAAAAGAAAGCAGCGAAAGATTCAGCTGCTTAATCCAGTTCTAAAGAAAGATGAGCAGATGGATGGAAATGAAAAAAGATACCCACAAGAATAACACAGGATCTCAAAAATCTCTTAGGATGTTTCTATTTTTACATTGTCACCTGTGATTGTTTGCAGATGAGGAGGAAAGAGAGGCAGCCAAAAATCAGGACATGTGAGTAGACTCAAGATCTAAGATAAAGCCATTTAATTAATTCACCTGATTAGCAGAAAAGAACTATTCCAAATAAAGATGTTTTATTTCTAAAGAAGTATAAGGTTACTGTTATGAACCATGGCTTGCAGATGGTTACAGTCACTGATTTCTTTCTCTGTGGCTTCACCTCAAATTGATGTAAGGTGTTTGGTTTTTTGTTTAATTTTTCCTCATTGCTGAATGAGTTATTATTATCACTAAAAAACAGTTGTGGTTGCCATAGCATGCAGATCCTTCTGGCTAGTCAGCCACAGTGATGAAACACTGTCTTTCTAAAGAAATTTTCCAAGAGATCTGTAGATGAAGCATGTCACTTGATTATCTAGTCCATTGCTACCCAGATCAGACACAACAGACACTCCCTCTCTCTTTAAATATATATTAATGTAGGTGTATTAATGCAAAAAAGATAACCAGATCCTAACCATGAACTTGTCTTGTTTCAAGAATGCAGTTTAATATATTTAAAACTATAACTGTATTTTTCTTTGCTGGAAAGAAAGTGGATAAAGATCCAAACGCAACAGTGAGTTCCCTGTGTAAGGTCAGGACTCAATCCCGATGGATCTCACTGACTATGCAGCTAACTGCCCATTTTGAAATTTCCAGGTATTTTAAATCATCACTTAGCATATACAAAACACAGCCAAGATTTTTTTTTCTAAGAACAGTAGCTGATTATCAACTCTTTTCTCTTCAGCAAAACACCACAAACAAATTACTAAGAGTATCTACATTAATCAGTGATCATGGAGTGATCCTGCAGGCATTTACTTCTTAGCTCAGTACTTAAACACGTCCTGTAAGACTAACATAGCACCTCTTAGCATGAAAACAAGAAAGCATGTTACTTAGTTATTGTGTTAAGAGCAAATTCTTCAGCTGAAGGTTTGGAGTGACAGCATGTAAGAACCTTGCCTGCTCAGCAAAGATTTTCTTTAAGTTATTCTGTGGAAAAAATATTAGTAATTCCACCCTGTCTCAAGTAATCTGACCAAACATGCAAACCAGGAAGTCCTTCAAACAAACAGGTTGCCAACCACAATTATGTCATGGTTTTATTAAAGGAATCT